TGGGCATGGTCTGGGTGGCCTCTGCCATCGTGGGCAACGACGCTGCCAGTCGCCAGTCGCTCTATGGTGGGTGCTGCTGGGGTGCCCGGGGCTCTCCCAGCTCCGGCGGGGCAGGATCAGGCCCTGGCACTGAATGGGACAAGAGGTGCCTGGTGCCACCGGCCTGATCCTGCCATCTCCACAGACCTCTGGGAATATTACCTGCCCTACCTCTACTCCTGCATCTCCCTCTTTGGTGTGCTGCTTCTGCTGTGTAAGTCGTTGGATGCCCTCCCGAGGTGCCCTGGCCCCAGTGGCCCGTCCTGCTCTGGGTGCAGGTCCCTGGGGGTGCCCAGCTGGGAGAAGGGGGTGCTCCCTGCAAATGGGGTCTGGAGGAGTCATTGTGCAGGGCTGAGCCCCCCACCCTAGCCAGGACTCTTCTGGGGGTGCTGGGAGGGGTAGGATGCTGGGGCACCCCCTGTTCAGCCTCTCCTCCCACCACAGTGTGCACCCCCTTCGGCCTCTCCACCATGTTCACCGTCACGGGGAAGCTGCTGGTGAAACCCCGGGTGAGGAGGTGTCCCCTCCCTGATCCCACTGCCCCAGCCTGGGTGTGACTGTCCCCAGGGCTGCCTGCTCTCCCTCCCTGGGCATGGGGAGCCATTCATGCCCCCTCACTGGCTGCTCACGGGCTCCTCACCCATCCCCAGCTCCTGGAAGACCTGGAAGAGCAGTTGAGCTGCACGAGGTTTGAGGAAGCTGCTGTATCCCGCAGGATCCGCTCTGGTGGGTGCCCGGCACGGGAAGGGGGAGCACAGGGTGGATTGGGGGTCCCTGTGCCCCACCATGAGCCCCTCGGTGTGTCCTCCCTGGCAGGCAAAGCTTCCTGCTGGCTGAACCTGGACATGGAGCTGCTGCAGGAGCAGTTCTTTGCCATCCGGAGCAAGAGGCGGAAATTGGGTGAGGAGCCTGGGGGGGAAGATCGGGATACCTGGATTCCTCCCAGCTTGGCACTGGGAGCACTGGGTCCCCGGCAGCCTGTGCTCCATGGAGGGAGTGGGATGGAAAATGGGGTGGGGGCTGTTACCCCCTGTCCTGGCAGCTTGGGGCCTCCTCAGTCTCCCACCCTGGGGTGGGGGCTCTTCTCCCCTCTCACCTGGGCACATCCCCCCCAGAGCTGCGGCACCGAGCATCGCCCTGGCAGAGGAACCTGGGCTACCCCCTGGTCATGCTGGGCCTCCTGGCGCTGACGGTGAGTGGCCCTTGGCACCCAGGGGAGCTGGGGGTCGCCCCTGTCCCCTCCACTGCCCTCACTCCCTCCCTGCTCCTCCCAGGGCATTTCTGTGCTCATCGTCTGCTTCCACGTCCTGGAGCTGCTGCTGGACGATGCCGCGATGCCACGGGGCATCCAGGTACCCGGGCAGGGGGATGGGGCAGTGTGGGGTCACGTCCCTCACTGGTCTGGGGACTGTTCCCCCCAACCTACCCCCTCCTCTCCCCGCAGGACGCGTCCCTGGGCCAGGTCTCCTTCTCCATCTTTGGTTCCTTCGGAGCTGCCCTGCAGGTCATCCTCATCTTGTATCCTTCCGGCGGGCACTTGTGTCCCCAGCGATGTCCCTTTTGTCCCCACACTGTCCCCAGGGCCATCCCACCCTGTTTTCCTCCTTAACATCCCTCCCAGCTACCTGATGGTCTCCTCCGTCGTGGGCTTCTACAGCTCCCCCTTCTTCACCCGCCTGCTCCCGGAGCGGCAGGACACCCCCCTCACCAAGGTGGGAGCTCCGGGCTGGGCTTGGGGGGCTCCTGGGCTCCCCTTGATGTGCAGGACCCCCCGTCCCCACAGTGCACCACGTGGTGTCCCCGTGCGAGGGGACAAAGCGTCCCAGTGCTGGGAAGGACCCCGGTGGTTCTCCAGCATTTGGGGAGCCCCTTCCCCAGCCTGGGGGGGTCCCTGAGGCAACACTGCCCCCCCCAAACCCTCCTTCCTCTCCTCAGATCATCGGGAACTGTGTCTCCCTGCTGGTGCTCAGCTCGGCACTGCCCGTGTTCTCCAGGACACTGGGTGAGCCCCTGGAGGGATCGGGGTGACCCCGGGACGGGGGTGTCCCCAGGGTTGGGGTGCCCTGACCGGTGTCCCACACCCCTGTGCAGGGATCACCCGTTTTGACCTCCTGGGGGATTTTGGCCGCTTCAACTGGTTGGGGAACTTTTACATCGTCTTCCTCTACAACATGGGCTTCGCGGGGCTCACCACGCTGTGCCTGGTCAAAAGGGTCTCCTGGGCCGTGCAGGCCGAGCTCATCCGCGCCTTCGGTGAGGATGAGGGGCTGTGGGGACGTGGGGGTGGGTTCTGAGGTGTCCCCTGTGCCCCTCCAGCTCTCACACTCTCCCTCTGCCCAGGTCTGCACAGGCTCCCGCTGCCCGTGACGTGCCGCCGGCCCCTCGTCAAGTCCTGCTAAGGCTGGGGACAGCGACATGGCCCCCCAGCCACGGTGGCCCCCCAGCCACAGAGCTGGCACCGGTGGCACCTGGTGCTTCAGGGACAATGGGGCCACCCAGGGAGAACCAAGACCCCACGGGAGGGGGGACACCCCCCGAGCTCTGTCTCAGCTTGTTGAGCTCCTGAGCCTTGGCCTCGAGCCACGTCCCTGTCACCCCCCCAGGGGGGTCCCCGAGGCTGTGCTGGCTGCAGCCCCCCCATCCTGTTTACATACCTCATGTGAGAGCGGCTGGGCCCCCTCCCCGACCCCTCCAGGCTGTTCCCTCGGGCCTGCTTGGGTTTTAAATGTCCCCCCCCCCAGGGACTGTTCTGACACTATGGGGGCAGCCCCGTGTCCCCTGCCCACAGTCACTCCACGGCCCGTCCCCACGTCACTCTGGGGCTGCAGGGGGGCACTGGTTGTCCCCCCCCCACCCCGAGGCCTTTGGGGTCCCTAATAGGGGCGCCTGGGGTGCAGAGGACAAGCCCCTCTCTCTGGCAGCTTGGTGTGATGAGTCTGTTAGTTCTCTGTTACCACAGAACTTGTTTGGAGCAATAAATAGTGTCTCTTTTTTTATATAAAAATATCTGAATCTGGGGGGTTTATTCCCCCCAAGGGCAGGGCTGAGTACGGGGGGGGGGCAGGGGCGGAGTGTCCCTGCCCGGGGGGTCACAGCGCTGCCCTCCCCTTCCCTGGGGACCATAATTAACCCTCTTCCTGGCTGGGGTTAACGAGGTTTTTCCAGGCAGGGCCACAGGTGAGGACAACTCCCTGCCCGCTGCCCGGGCTGAGGGACCCCGAGGGTGTTGGGGGGCTCTGGGCTGCTTCGGAGTACAGACGGGGGGGTCTCAGCTGCCCCCCGTGAGGGGCACAGGGTGAGCTCCAGCCCCCGGGATGGGGGGGTCGTGCAGCCAGAGCGGAAACTGCCCTGAGAGCCGGCCCCCCACCCATCCTGCCCCGGCTGGGGCCGAGCCAGGCCGACCCCCCCAGGCAGGGGTGGGGGGCCCGGGCCCCCCCTCGCCCCCCCCCCGGCTGGGGCCGAGCAGGAAGCGCAGGAAACCTGGTTTATATTGCAGGAAATGAGGCCATCGGTGCCCGCGATTTCCCCGCAATCTGCTCCCCTCCCAGTCACCCCGGGCTGGCACCGGGGCTGCGGGAGGACCGCGGGGGGGGCCGGGACCCCCTCGACCCGCTCCCAACGCTCCACCGCCCCGCTGCTGCCTCCTGCCCTCGCCGAGGCCCCCGGCACCCTTGGGTGCTTCGCTGGGAGATCTGGGGGCGCTGGGCGGGGAGACACGGCCCCAGCCCCGGGGGGAGCCAGGTCCCGAGGGTGTCCCGTTCCTGGAGGAGCCGGTGTGCCCGTTGGATCCCGGTGGCAGCCCCGGAGCAGCCCGGTCCCAGCCGCGGGGGTGCCTCCATCCCCGCCGGAGCCCGGGCCCGGTGCCGGGGTGCCCCGGTGCCGGGGCGCGGAGGGGCCGGGGGAGGGCAGCCCGGCGGGGGCGGCCCCGGGGGATGTGGCCGCCGCTGCCGCCGCTCCCGGGGGCCGGGTCCGAGGCGGGGCCCGGCGGGGCTGCCCAGTGCCGGAGCCGAGCGGCCGCGGTGGGGGCAGCCCGGCCGGGGCGGCTGCGGGCGGCGCACGGTGCCGACCGGCACCCAGGGCAGCCGGTACCGGGGACTGGGCCAGGAGTGGGGACCGGGACCGGGACCGGGGGTCGGACCGAACAGAGGGGACCGGGGGAGCGCCAGGGAGCTCGGGAGCAGGGCTGTGCCAAGGGGACGGAGCAGGTGCCGATAGCGGCGGCGCAGCGTTAGGATAACGAGTGCCCTCGGTGCCAGGGGCAGCGGGAGAAGAGGGATCGGGACGGGGAGAGAGGGGGGTCCCCGGTCCCGACAGGCGGTGACAGGAGAGGGGAGAGGTCCCAGGACCAGAATCGCGGCGTTAGGACCGGGATAAGGGGGGGTCACGGTACCGGAGCGCAGTGCGGGGAGTGGGGAGAGGAGCCGGTACTGGAGCGTGGGATTCAGACGGGAAGGGAGAGAGAGATCGGGGAGCGGGGTCAGGTCCCAGTGCCGGTCCCGGGGCAGCATCAGGAGCCGGGTGCCCGGTGCCAGTTCCGGGGCAGTGCCCGGAGGGAAGTATTGGTGTCCGGCGCCGGTGCCCGGTACGAGGGCTTCTCCCGAGGCTCGGGCTGTGTCGGGGACACCCCGGGACCGACGTGCAGCGCCAGGCGAGGGAGTGCCGGGCCCGTGGGCACGGAATCGTTGGCGGGGGGGCCATCCCGGTGCCCGGGCGCTGCGCTCCGAGTGGGTGGCGGCACCGGCGGGAGGGCGCGGGGGGGGGAACAGTCGTCCCGGGCGGCCGCGGATCCCGCAGCGACGACGGGACCGTGGGTGTGAGAAGGAAACGGCGCCGACCCGCCCCTGGCACCGCGACCCTCTAAAAGCCCCAGGGCCGCCACACCGGGACCATGCCCGCCCCGGCCGCCTGTGCCCCCGGCGACTGAGCGGGGCCCGCGGAGGCAGCGGGGCCCGGCGGGCGGGATGCCCCGGTGGAGGCCGCTCGCCCTCGTCCTGCTCGGCCTCGCCGCCTGCCTGCTGGCCGCGCCGGTGCTGGGCTGCGGCCCGGGCCGGGGCCCGGTGGGGCGGCGGCGGCTGGGGCGGCGGCAGCTCTCGCCGCTGCTCTACAAGCAGTTCGTGCCCAACGTGCCCGAGCAGACGCTGGGGGCGAGCGGGAAGGCGGAGGGCAAAGTGCTGCGGGGCTCGGAGCGCTTCAGGGACCTGGTGCCCAACTACAACCCCGACATCATCTTCAAGGACGAGGAGAACACGGGGGCGGATCGGCTCATGACCGAGGTGGGGGCTGCGCCCGGCCCGGCCCGGTCTCGCTCCCCGGGGGCGCGGGGGCGGCGGGGGGAGCGGGCGGGAGCACAGCGACCTTCGCAGGGGCGCACGGACCGTCCCCAGCCGGCACCGACCCCCCCCCGGGGCGCACCGGCCACCCCGGGGCTCACAGAGCCTCCCGGGTGGCACCGACCCTTCCTGCGTGTACGGAGCCTCCCGGGGCGCAGGGTCCCCTCCGGGGCCGCCCGGTGCCTCTCCCCGGTCCCCTGCTCCCTTCCCCGGCCCTTGGCGGCGGCGGGGCAGCACCGGATCCCTGGGACGGGCCGGTCCCGCCGCGTTGGGCATTCAGGACCGCCGGGTTTAACGGGGCGGCACCGCGGGCACGGGGTACCGGCGGCCCTTCTCCCCCAGCTCCCCCCGGTAGCCGTCTCTCCGGATGGGGCTCCGGGGTGGCGGGAGCCCGGGACGCGCCGCGCCCCGTCGGGATGCTCACGGTTGCCATGGCGAGGGGCGGCTCCGCGGTCGCCATGGCGACGGGGGATGCTGCGAGTGGTCCATGCGGCGCCGGCAGCTCCCGCGAGCCGGGGCGGAGAAGGCGGCGGGGCCGGGGCGGCGGGGCCCGGCGGAGCCGCGGGCGCGGAGCCGGCCCGGGGTGCGGGCGGCTGAAAGGGCCCTTTGTGGCCGCGGCGGCATTCCCGGGGCCTGAGGTCAGCGCCGGGCTGGAAGGCGCCTATTGTGGCCGGGCCGGGCCGGGCCGGGCCGGGCGCATTCCTGCCCCCCCGGCCCGGCCGCCCCGGGCCCGCGCCCCGCGCTCCCGCCCCCGCGGCCCCGCGCTCCCGCCCCCGCGGCCCCGCGCTCCCGGGAGCCGCTTTGTGGGACGGGGGAGAGGGGGGGCACCGTGGCACCGAGGGACGCTGTGACCTCACCGACCGCGGGGGGGCACTGGGGGCAGCTCCGGCCGCTGCACCCCGTGTCGGTGCTGTCGCTGCTGATGGGGAGAGGGATCCTGGAGCCAGCGGGACCCCCTGCTGTCCCCCTCAGCCCGGACCCGGGTCTGGTTCAGGGTCAGCTGCACCCCCAGCTCTGCCCCACAGCCCCCCCGCCGGGTTAATCAGTCACGGCCGTGGCCGCGGGGAAGGTGACCCTGGGGAAGGTCCCGGTCCCCGTCCCGGTTCCCTGCCCGTTCTGCCCGGCTGCCCCAGCTCCACCACGGGACCCCGGGGCACGTTAACGTTCAACCTGCGCCCAGGCTGGGGGGGCAGCTTGGCCATGACCCTCTCTATGCCCCAGGGGGGACACCCCATCTGCCCCCACCTGCGGCCCCTTTGGGCTCCCTCCAAGGCCTGGCGTCTCCCTGTCCCTGTGGGGTCCCTCCTGTCAGTCCCTGTGAGGGGGTGCTGGGTGCTGTGGGGGTGCTGGGTAGTGTGGAGGTGTTGGGTGCTGTGGAGGTGGTGGGTGCTGTGGGGGTGCTGGGTGCTGTGGGGGTGTTGGGTGCTGTGGAGGTGTTGGGTGCTGTGGGGGTGCTGGGTGCTGTGGAGGTGCTGGGTGCTGTGGGGGTGTTGGGTGCTGTGGAGGTGTTGGGTGCTGTGGAGGTGTTGGGTGCTGTGGAGGTGCTGGGTGCTGTGGAGGTGTTGGGTGCTGTGGAGGTGCTGGGTGCTGTGGGGGTGCTGGGTGCTGTGGAGGTGTTGGGTGCTGTGGGGGTGTTGGGTGCTGTGGAGGTGCTGGGTGCTGTGGAGGTGTCGGGGGTGACGCCGGTGCCGGTGTCCCTCCCCCAGCGCTGCAAGGAGCGGGTGAACTCTCTGGCCATCGCGGTGATGAACATGTGGCCGGGGGTGAAGCTGCGGGTGACAGAGGGCTGGGACGAGGACGGGCACCACCTCCCCGACTCGCTGCACTACGAGGGCCGGGCGCTGGACATCACCACGTCCGACCGGGATCGCCACAAGTACGGCATGCTGGCCCGCCTGGCCGTGGAGGCCGGCTTCGACTGGGTCTACTACGAGTCCAAGGCACACATCCACGTCTCTGTCAAAGCAGGTACCACACAGAGGGGGCTGCCACCGGGATGGGGGGGCTGCCATCTGCATAAACATCCCAGCCTGCAGCCCCACAGCCCCCTCTGCTCCCTCTTGGCTTCCCAGATGCATGTGTGATGCAGCCCTGCTCCAGTTCATATCTGGCCCCAGCCCAGCTCGCCCCGGTCTTTCCAGCCACCAGATTGGCAAAATCCACACTTTCCCCTCCGAATTTTGGCCAGATGGAGCCACCCTTGTGGTTCAGCTCTCAGTGAGAGGAACAGCAACGCAGCCCCCCACCCCTTACAGTTCCCAGCCCCGCACCCCCCAGCCCTGCAGCCCCCCAGCCCCCAGCAGTTCCCATCCGGTCCAGAAGTGACAATTCACAGAAAGTGAAAGTGGCCGTAAATGTCACCGTGCCAGCCCCGAACAAAGGGCATCAGTGCGGGGGCGGACAAAGGGGCCCTGCAGCGCCCAGGAGCCACAGCACGCAGGAACCGGGGTGGGGGGGCTTCGGAAAATACCAGCTTTGTTCCGGGGGTGCTTTGGGGACCCGGGGGCGGCCGTTTCCCCTCTGGAGGTGGCGGCCCGGTGGAGGTGGCCGGCGGGGGACACCCACGCCTTTCTCCATCCTTGCAGACAACTCGCTGGCCATCCGCACCGGCGGCTGCTTCCCCGGCCACGCCACCGTGACGCTGCAGAGCGGCGAGCGCCGGGGCCTGGCCGACCTGCGCCGGGGCGACTGGGTGCTGGGCGCCGAGCCGGGCGGGCGCCTGGTGCCCACCGAGGTGCTGCTCTTCCTCGACCGGGACCTGGGCCAGCGCGCCTCCTTTGTGGCCATCGAGACGGCCGGCCCGGCGCGCCGGCTGCTCCTCACCCCGTCCCACCTGGTCTTCGCCGCCCGCGGGGCCGCCAACGGCTCCGCCGCCTTCCTGCCCGTCTTCGCCCGCCGCGTGCGCCCCGGCGACGCCGTGCTGGCCCACGGGGCCGGCGGGCGGGGGCTGCGCCCCGCGCGGGTGCTGAGGGTCTCGCGGGAGGACGGCGTGGGGGTCTTCGCCCCGCTCACCTCCCACGGGACCCTGCTGGTCAACGGGGTGCTGGCGTCCTGCTACGCCGTCCTGGAGAGCCACCGCTGGGCCCACCGCGCCTTCGCCCCGCTGCGCCTCTTCCACGGGCTCCTCTCGCTGCTGCCCGCCCGCGCCCAGGCGGGCAACGGGACGGTGCCCGAGGTGGGCATGCACTGGTACTCCCGCCTGCTCTACCGGCTGGCCGGGGGCGTGCTGGGCCACGAGGCCCTGCAGCTCTAGGGGTCCCCGTTCCCCCCCGGTCACCACACTGCAGGTGATGCCGCGCGCTGGAAGCGAGGGGGCTCCGGCCCTGGGCACCCCTCGGGCCCAGGGAGGAGGGACAGGGGGCACCCCCAGCCAAGTGAGAGGTTGGGGGTCTCTGGGCTCAGCGCTGTCCCGGGGTGTGGGGTGGTAGGGGTGGGATCCATGGGATGGGGTGTCACGGGGTGGTGCAGGGACCGGGTTCAGCCCTGTCCTGTGTCCTGGACCCCCACCCAGCCCTGTCCCCGTGCCCCAGACCCCTGTGTGCTCCCCTGGTATTTATTGCTTTATTAACCACTGCTGGGGCCGGGGCTGGTGTCTGTCAGGCACCACCAGACCCCACCCCAGGGCCAAATCCAGCCGGGAGGGTGGTGGCAAAATAGCTCAACACCGAGCACTTGGCAGCACTTCCTGCCTGTCCCCCAGCTCTGGGTCTGTCCCTGGCACCCAGAGTGTCCCCAGGGTGGCTGGACCGGGTGTCTGCTGTGGGGACGGGGTGCCTGCCATGGGCACAGGCATCCCATGCCAGGCCTGGCTCTAACTGTGCTAACTGCTAACCCGCCCTGCTTGAGAGTTTTATTTTTCTATTTATAAATGGTAATATAAATGTCCCCCATGCCCACCTGCCCTGGCACTGGGGCTCACCCCGTGGGGCAGGAGGGTAGCCTGCTTTTAACCACTTCTGTTTAAAAACCAAAAGAAATACTGCTATTTAATTGTTCGGGGAAATAAAGAGACTCTACGGGCCCTGTGGAGCTGTGGCTGGAAGTGGGGGCTGCACAATCCTAGGATGGAGGTCCAGAGGGGCTGGAGTTGACTATGCCAGGGGGCTGGGGGTCCCTAGGGCTGGAGCTGTGAATCCTGAGTGGCTGGGGTATCCCCAGGGGCTGGACACTCGGGAGCCTGGGGGTCCTTAGGATTGAAGTCAGGCATCCTGAGGGGCTGGGGTATCCTCAGGGGGGCTGGGGGTCACTGAGGCTGGGGTCGGACATCCCGGGGAGCTGGAGTATCCCTGGGGCACTGAGGGTCCTGGGGCTGGGGATCTCGGGGATCAGGATGTGAATGAGGGCATTCTCGGGGGTCCCCGGGCCGGAGTAAGTTGGGGGGGACAGGAAGGAGTCACTAAGTCCCCCCCTTACCCCCCCCCCGCTCAGGTGCGCGGTCACCACGTGGCCGCGGCCGTTCCCTCCGTTTTCATGAATGGAGCCCCGGCGGGCACCGCGCCTGCGCTGCAGGCTGGCCCCGCCCCCTCCGCCGCGGTTCGGCCAATGGGAGCGGGGCCGTGTTGTGGTCACGTGCGGCCGCCGGTGTAGTGGCGGCGGCTCCGCCCCCTCCCGGCGCGGCGGGCGGTTTTTATTGCGCCGTTTGTCGCGCCCGCCCGCGCCGCGGGCCGTGCCGCCGCTCC